CTTCAAAGAGGCTGTTTTTGTTCTGAGCTCCTAGTCTCTTTGTAATATGTGTCACATTTTCTCATAAAACAACTGAATCTCTAAATAGAATTATATAAACATTACAAGCTCCCAGCTTTGCTTTTCATACCATGCCTGGCAGGTGAATGGCAGCAATTTCTTCAAGCTTTTCCAAGCAAGCCTATAAGGACTATTTTACAAGCTCTCTGCAGCTCTGATTAAAATAAATTACAAATAATTGCTACAAATTCAGACAAGGCATAGCAACCCTACATACTTGTTAAAAATTAAATGTTGTGGAAGATGGTTGTAATGACATTTTCATGCAAAACCACATCATTTGGAAAGTAGGATGTATAAGTATAATCTAAAACCCGTTCCATGCTTAATGAAGACTACAAAGGAATATTTTTGGAAATAATGACATTTTCTAGCTGTAACATGGGGCGCAGAAGCATTGCTATTAACCCGTTAATAGTCCCATTGAGAGAGAGAGATTATTATTTTATAAAATTTGTCCCAAAATTTATTTCTCAAGCTGATGTTGAATGTAAACTGCCTTGGTACAAGATGACTATCAGAAAGAAATGTAATAAAAGAGACAAACTATATTCAATTAAGATGGCTTTGTTTTGATTTTTTTAAATAATTCATGGGCTTTTGCAATTTTGCATCCTGTATAATCTTTAACCTTCCCCATTTCTGAGAAAAATAAAGGTAAATGCTGTACTGATTAATAGAAAAATGAATAGAACTCTATCCCTTCAATACCGTAGCCTATTGTAGCCATTTTACAGTCTCTAGTACAAGTTCAACAAGAACTCAACTTCAGAATGAATAACCTGCTGTCTCATTCCCCCATGCCATCATTGGTGGTCAGTAGAGTTTCTCATTCTCTCTTTGTCTCAGGCTATGTCTATACTAGAAAGGTTTTGCTGATACAGCTATAGGCCATGTCTACACTAGTGAGCTTAAAGCAGCACAGCTGTAACGATGCAGCTGCGCCACTGTAAGATCACACGTGTCGCTGATCTTTGCTGACAGGAGAGAGCTGTCCCGTCAACATAATAAAACCACCCACAATGAGTGGTGGTAGCTATGTAGGTGGGAGAAGCTCTCCCACCGACATAGTGCAACGCGTACTACCACTTATGCCGGCAAAATATATGTCGCTCAGGGATGTGCATTTTTCACACCCTGAGCAACTACGTTTTGCCAACATATGTGGTAGTGTAGACATGGCCGTACTGGGACAGATATACCAGCAGAGCCTCCAGGGGAGATGCAGCTTATATACCGTCATAAGGCAATCTTTTGACGGTATAGTGAAACCACCTTCCCAGATGACATAAGCTATAATGGAAAAAGTGCTCTTTTGCCAATAGAATTGTGTTCACACAGAGGTTGGTTGGTTGGTTTTTTTTTTGATGGCATAGATATGTCCATCAGGGGTGCAGATTTTTCCACACTCCTGACCAATATAGCTATACTGGCAAAACTTTGTAATGTAGACCTGGTCTCACGCTATGTCTACATTAGGAGTGCTTTACTGGTATAGGAATACCAGTATACTATACTAGGCAGCAAAATTCTCCTAGCATGGATGCAAACTATACTGGCTAACTGGTGCCTTGAATTGGTACCCATAACATGCCTGAGCAAAAGAAAAGCATGAGAAAAATAGCAACGTGGCCACAGCAACAGTATTCAGGAGGTCAGGTGGGTTTGTGCTCGTGCAGGTAACCCATGCTGCTGCATATGCCACCATGGCCACACCCATATTGCTGTTTTTAGTACATTAGCTCAAGCAGAGCTAATACATATCTGTCTACCCTCCCAGCTGCTGTACAGACTTATCCTACTAGCAGAGCCAATGCCAACCCCACAAAGCTGCAGGAATACCACTAAAAGAACCCTCCTAGTCTCTACAAGCACAGGAATGTACCACTTGTAATAGTTGGCCAAGCTTGCGAGGCCCTGCACTCAACTTGATGGAATCTGTCTGTTGTGCCATAACTTTTGAATGCCACATCTGACCTATTCCAAAATTTCAGGGAACATTCTAGACATCAGTGGCCAGAACCTTCTTGATTTGGAGGGCAATCAGAATGCCAAAAAGATGGAAAAGGGGGACACGTAGAGCTCCTGTCATCTCTTGATGGCACTCATTAACCCCTTGCAGCATAACATTTCCCCTGTTCATATCTCAGGAGAGTTTAACATGTTGACACACTGAGGTTATGTCTACACTTAAAACACTGCTGCAGCTTTGCCACTGTACTGTAGCACTTCTGTGTAGACGCTCCATACAGTGACAGGAGGGGCTTTCGCATTGCTGTAGGTAATCCACCTCCCTGAGAGGCAGTAGCTAGGTCAACAGAATTCTTCCATTAACCTAGCACTGTCTACATTGAGGGTTAAGTTGGCTTAGGCACGCCACTCAGAGTGTGGATTTTTCACACCCCGAGAGACATAGCTATGCCAATGTAACTTTTCAGTGTAGACCTGCTGGGGAGCGATGAGGTAGCTTCTTAGCTTGCAGGGGCAGCCAGAGGGAGAAGAGAGAGAAGGCTTCATTCATTCCATCTTCCTTCCTAATGTCCTGCCTCCTCAGCCTGTCCCAAGTGGGAAGAAAGACGGCACCAGCCATCCACCCCTTCCTTCCAATCTGGGAGAAAGAAAGGCAGTCTGGGGTAAGGGAAGAAGAAACACAGGGCTTCCCTGGCATATTGCAGAGAATGGAGGATCATAACAGGAATGGGCAGAGAGCAACAGAGGAAAACAGCTCTAGGTATGGTGAGGAAAATGTGTGACCTTGATGGGGGCAGTGGAGGAGGAGAGACACACAGCACCCTTGACATGGTGTAGACTAGAGAATGGGGGACCCTGGTGTGGGCATAAGGAGGATTGGAGGGGATCAGAATCCCTGACATGCTGTGAAAATGAAGGAACCTGGTGTGGGGGGAGAAGGGAATGGAGAGGAACAGAGCCTCTGGTATGGCGTGGAGAATGGGGGACCCTGCTGTGCAGGGGTACACAGAACCATTAGTGGAGGAAACTGGGGAACCCTGGTGGGGGACCTTGGTATGGGGAAGGGAGGCGCTCAGAGTCACTGCAATAGGGAAAAGAATGGGGGACTCTGGTATGGGAGGAAAGAGACTGGGGGGCACACAGAGACCCTAGCAGGGAGGTGATTGCGGGGAGTTGCAGCAAGTCCCTGAAATAGATGGGGACAGGAAAATGGAAAACAGGGAACACGTTGGGATCATGAACGGATGCCAGGAGCATGGCCAGCAGAAGCAACAAAGCATGTAACCCCCTAATATATGTTGTGATTTAGAGGATAATTATGTTAACAAAACAGTAAAGACTATGCAAAAATGGCATCGTCCTATTCTACGGGGCCTATCCAGGAAGGCACTTATTTCTGTATGTAACCTTAAGCATGGGTACATGATCCAATACCTTCCATATTCAGGGCCCAGATGTGTTGCCAAGTTATATCTATTTTATTTTGTTGATTCAGACCCCAGTGCTCCCATTGATGATTGCACTTAATCACATGCCTGGGCCTGCACAGCCCCACTTATGTTAATGGCACTTTGGGTAGGCACAGAGGTATGCCCTCACACAGACAATTGCAGGATCAGGGCCTACAACGAGGAACACTTCATGAGGCTCCCCCTGAAGGGCTACCTCGATTCATTCCATCAGGCTGGGGAACGTTTTCACTCACCTCAGTTGTTATTGTTCCCCTTTCCCAAGCAGTAGCAGATTTTGACTCCGACAGGTCAGTTTCCCATTTGTAGCAGAAATTGTGGAGTCAGGTATTTTCTAGGGAATTTGTTTCCTTACAAAATGTACACACCATCCTGTTTCCTTGAACTAAGATGGCAACACACTGCACAAAGGCAACTGTCTTTTGCATAAACCCTAACTGAGGCTCTGCTCCAGCCCCAGAAGCGGCTACCTCCCTCCAATCTCACTGCAAAACTCATGGTTAACACTTAGCCCTCAAGAACAGAAACACCCCTAGCCCAAAACTCTTACCAAGAACATCCCTGGCCAGAAAGGTGAACCCTTAACCCTCCTTTTGTGCACTTGCTTTGCAATATAAAAGGAAGCTCTGGAAGGAATAATAACTACACTGAAAGTGCTTTAACCCACACAATACCCTTAACGATTGAGTATGGTTACTGCCTGACACCCTTAACTCTTCCTCTGGAGAGTTTCACCCTGTTAAACCCAAATGTGCAAGTCATTAATACCCTTTGTTACAACACTACAAAATGTATCAATATCAACTACAATCAGTGGAAATAAAGTGAAAGGAAAGACTAAGCTATTAAGAGTGCTATTAATTTCACTGTAAAGTCTTTGGCCTGTGGAACTTTGGGGGACGTTTCTATTATCTTTGTATAAATAATTAAATAGTCAAATAGAGATGTGCTTGCCTACATCTTGTGGAAGCGTAAAGATACTATGAGAACATACTTGCCAGAAATGGGTTTACTCATTAATGCAGGTGTTAACATGAACTGGTAATTAGCCTGTTGGCAATTTACTTTCAGAGAAACCTTGGAAAAATCTTACAAATGTCAGTTACTTTTACATTTATCTCTTTAACTTATGAGCACTGCACACACAAAAAGTTTTCATCATTATGCTAAAGTGAGTGCAGTAACTTTATCCCGAATTGTGTGCTAAAAGGTCACAACCACAATTATATGGAGGTGAAAGATATTTTACCAAAGGCACTTTAAGATGAACAATTAGGAATCATAATTACTGTAGTACAGCATATACCTCAAGTGCCAGCTTTCTGAATGACAGAGCAGAAGCATGATTCATTCCCATTAAGTTCTTCTTTTGCTTCCATGGTAAAAAGACTGCATGTGAATTCAATGTAAAGATCTAAAGCATGCTGCAGTAGCACCATATTCCAGACAGCAAAATAGAAGAGGACTGGTAACTGGTCATTTGGGTTTTCTCCTTTACAGAAAATGAATAGTCAATATGTGCGCTTTGAAGTGTTTGGATGTGAAACTGAGGAACTAACAGATTTCTGGGAAAAGACAATTGAAAAACAAACTAAGCATCTGCAAATTGAAAAAGAACGTCAACAGAGAAGTGCTCTGCCAAAGTACGTTGCGGTGGCGGGGGGAGGGGGGAGAAGGGGTGCTTGCTTCTGTGGGTTGGTATTGTAATCCTTTAAAAAAATAATAAATACATACATTTAGTGCATGCCATAGATGCCAGAATGACAACCCAGAAAATATGGGTTCTCTGTATAATATACAACAACAAAGCTTCATGCGCTGCCCCTCCCGCTGTGTGCCTCAACCATGACCTCAATGGCCATCTCATAAAGACGAGAGAGGGTAGTTTATTCTTGCGCCCTGCTCAAGCCACTAATGCTACCTTTCTCCCTCACAGTCTGGTGCTGTGTGGAGCCTCAGCTCAACCACAGTAGAGAATCTGGCCTTAGATCATTTAGCCTTTCTAGCCTTGTGTTCGCTAGGAAAAAATGTGTGTTCTTAACTCAGAGTAGCTAATGTAACTAACACACGGTCAATCCCTAATTAAAACAAGGCAGCTGTAGTTTCAACATGTGTCAGCAGGCCAACGCACACCCTAAGCTCCCCTCTAGTCTTTACCTCAGCCTGCTAACCTGTGAAAACTATAAACTGCCTTGTCTTCAGAGGATCTTACCTTGTGTTGGTTACCCCGAAGTAAGAACACGCCTTTTCTTTTTTTTCCCCTAGTGAAGATGCACCTTTTCACACAGGCTGGTCCCAAATAAAGGAAGCGTTCAAAATTCACCCACCCTTTTCCTTTTCTTTTTTTGAAAAAAGTTTAAAATCCAACAGAAGAGGAAGGAAGGATGGATGGTGTTGCAGTTAGTGCCCTGGCTTAGGACGTGTGAGAGCTGAGCTAGTTCAGTTCCTGGGTCTGCCTTAGATTTACACTGTAACCTCAGGCAAGTCCCTTAATTTCTCCATCCTCAGCTCCCCACCTGTAAAATTTCTCCCATCTTTTGTCTGTCTTGTCTATTCGCTCTTTGGGCCAGGAACTCTTACTATGAATCTGTGCAGTGCCTAGTACAGTGCCTTGATCCTTTTTGGGGCCTCTAGGTACTACTGCACTAGAAATGAACTCCCACCTCTCGCCTAACCTATCTGGTCAACAAGTAAGAAGTATTGCTCCTGGCAAGAATCTTGTAGATTTAACTGTACACAGTCTCTCCTTTGCTTTCAATCTAGTAGTGCCAGAAGAAACCAAGAAAGTACTGTAAGAGGTTGTCCAGGAGGTGGCAGCAGCCAATCTTGAGAATTAAGGGATGACCTCACAAAGTAGCTTTGTCAAGCCAGGAGAGATGAAAACTAGAGATGACTGAGCCCCAAAGCTCAGGTTAGGTTTCCTCATGTCATCCCAGGGGCATTATGCTCGAAGACACTCCAGACGAGCAGGGTTTGGTAGATCTCCCTACTGCTGGTGGAGAAGCACCAATGGTAGCAGTGGTGGAAAATGTTAGAAAGATGAGTTTGGTGGTATCTCTCAAAGCCCAGAGATATGCAAGACTGGAGTCTTTTTGGTGATACCAGTGTTTATGTTTCCTGTCTTAGACTCAGAACTGAATGGAAGGAGAGGCTGGAAAAAAGGATACAGATGATGAAGACTCAAAATGAAGAGCCGGCTAGTTGAAGGCTTCTTACACATTTGGGAAAAGAAGGAAAAATGTTTTGCAGAAGAAAACCGTAGTGTACCCAATTTATTTTTATTTACAAGCTTTGATGAGATTTATTTTACAGCACCATCATCATGTAGGGAGTTCATATGTGAAACCTTGACTACTGCTGATGAGACCTATTCTCTATGTGAACCCCTCATTCAGTGAGGAGAGAATAAATGTGTATGGATCCTAAATTGTGGTTCCCTGATGCAGACAACTGCCTGGAAAAGGAATTTAGTATCATTTTAACTAAATGCTCATTGAAATAGTCTTCTGTATATTTTACTAAATACGCCTTAGGTTTCTATACATACTGATATTATACAGCAATTTAATGTCGTGGTTTTCCTTTGAAATTGTTTAATACATTTTTGGGTTTTTGACTACTATGAAACCACAAATATACACAGAGAACAAATACACTTAAAATATATTCATTTATTACTAATACACTTTGGGAGCAGGTCCAATTCCTCCTCCTTATAAGACAGATTGTTTCAAAGTGTATCCGTCTAACCCCTACCACAAATGTGCAATAGCCTTTACTAAAATGGAAATGTTTCAGCGGAATAATGCTATCCAGTTGCTTCTTTTTTAGAGTGACTGCCACAGGAGTAATGCACGGCAAAATGGGTTCTTACAAAACACACAAAAAATCCCTTTGCCTCAATTGCTCAGCTGTCGGTCTCTTGCGATGACATCATTTGACTACTTCTCCAGTCTCCATATTGTTCCAGGGTAGACAAAATTTGTATTGCCAAGGGGGAGGGGGGCGCAGAGGAGAAATCAGTAAAAGCGAGATTCTGGTTTGTAAATAGCTTAGGTAAATTGTTATCATAAAGCACATTTAAAATGTTATATTTTCCTTTGTACATCACATTTCAAATATGCAACTTCGGAGTGACCTGAGGGCAAAAAACAAATATGGCATCCAATAGGAGTTGTCCACATGGAAATGACAGGCTGATCTGGAGCCTGAAAAAAGCAGTTCAAACATAAAAAACTACCTCGGACCACATGCTCAGAAATCAAGTCATCGCAACTTTTGAAAAGAATTTCCCTGTGGGCTGAAACTGCCTAAAATATGCTATGCTCCATTTCTTCAATATGGTTTTCTTACACTGCTTTCAAAGTGACATAAGCTAAACTGAAAAGGCACTCTTATTTCACATCTACATAGGGAGTTATAACAGTATAACTATAATCATATAATTATACCTGTAAATGTCCCCATATAGACAAGCCTCAAGGGAGTTAGGCACACAGCTCCCATTAAGTTTTAGTAGGAGTTAGCTCCTTTGAAAATCCCAGGCTGTGCAGCTCAATTTTCTCCTGACTTGCCTGTGCTCAGCACCTCCTAAAGCCAAGACCAAATTTTGCTCTCAGGGTTGCACTAGATTTTACATTGGTGTAGCAGAAATCAAAAACCCAAGGGCCAAAGGTTATGGCTGCACTACAGCTTAAGTCGACATAAATTATGTCATTCAGGAGTGTGAATTAGCCACTTCCCTGAGCAACATAATTTATGCCGATTTAAGTGCCAGTGTGGACAGTGCTATGTCAGTGGAGGAGCATCTCCCAGCAATATGGCTACCACCACTCATGGGGGCTGGAGAAATTAAGCTGATGGGAGAGCTCTCTCCCATCGGCTTAGAGCAGAGGTCGGCAACCTTTTAGAAGTCTTCATTTATTCACTCTAATTTAAGGTTTCACGTGCCAGTAATACATTTTAACGTTTTTAGAAGGTCTCCTTCTATAAGTCTATAATATATAACTGCACTATTGTTGTATGTAAAGTAAATAAGGTTTTTAACATGTTTAAGAAGCTTCATTTAAAATTAAATTAAAATGCAGAGCCCCCCCGGACCGGTGGCCAGGACCCGGGCAGCGTGAGTGCTACTGAAAATCAGCTCGCGTGTCGCCTTTGGCAAGCGTGCCATAGGTTGCCTTCCCCTGGCTTAGAGCAGCTTCATTAGAGAGCTTACAGCAGCACAGCTGCATCAGTGCAGCTGCTAAAACGTGCAATACAAGAGAGACTCAGACTTACTGTACCTGAAAATCTAGGAGTGAAAATTTTACTACAGGATTCAGATGGATTGACTACTTTCCATACATATTCTCTTCCAATTAAATGAATCATGGGAGCAAACCTGTCAGAATCCACTAGGGGGAAAGACTAAGAAAGAGAACAGAGTGCCTGCTTTCCAAAGCATTTCCCCAAGATACTACAGGCTCCTGATGTCACTGAACTTTATTTCAGTGATATCACAGAATGATGCATAGTGGGATGTCTTGAGCAAATTAGGATGTGCCAATAGATTTGAAGAGAAGTGAATAATATATATTTTTAAAATAGTAAACTGAAACTTATCTTTGTGCTGAATGGATCCTCCCCAGCCTGGATTCTGGGAGCTCTAAGAACATATTTCTGGGTTTAGCCCAGTGTTCAGTTTAGCTTTGCAATTTACCTTGAGTGTTTAAATGAATTATTTTGGCCTCAGGTTTCACAGTGTTAGATTTAGGACTTTGGGTCATGTTGTGATCTTTATTTATACAGGTGGTAGCAACCCATTTTGATTACAAACTCAATCTCTTTTTCCAGGGCAATCTGACTAGTAGCTTTATAAATTACTAGTAACAAAACAGTACATTCCCACAGCAATACATACGATTTAAGATCAATCAGCAAAAACTAAAATACGATAAAACTGAAATTCATGTCAAGAAACAAACTTAATCAGAAGCAGGAGCAGAATGTGAGATGAAAATGTTTGGGGTCAATTGAAAAGATGGGAGTATAAGTCTTTAATTCTCCTTGAAGGTCATTATAACAGTCAAAAGGAAGTGAAGAGTAAACTTTAAGACAAGCCAAAACACTGAAAAATGTTCCTTACCTCTAGAGACTATAGGACAGAAAAGGTTGTGGTTTAGTTATTGATAAAACTATGTGGGCACTGTAGAATCATTATTGCTTAACAGAATGAGCCAAAGATCCCTCTGGATTATTTATCAGTCGCTCTTAGTAAAGGCAGAGCTTTTAGCAGTGTGGGATGTGCAACCAATACAGTGAGATCTAGGAATTTTTAAAAAACACTTCTTCAAAGGACCACTTCATTTCATTTGATTTTTTCAAACCAAATGAATATAAAAATGGGATATTTCAACTATGCCAATCCATTTTAATTATTTCTTGTGATTAAAATATGATACGTTTGTTTATCCTTTCTAGCTTTCATTATTTTACCATTCTTCTTCCTAACCTGGATACCGTGTTCCTAGAAGATGTATTATGCCTGTTTTATTACATATGCACGATTCAGAACAACGTTTTAAAAGCTTATAACACAGACAAAATTGGAAGTAGCATAGTTTTACCATCATCTAAAACAATCCAATCCCTCTCAGGCTTTATTTATGAGAAGTATATTCAATGCTACCATGGGAATGACACATACTCCATTTTACTTGTATTAATGGCCCTTCTGTTGTGTGGATAAGGTCTGACAACTGTAAAACTGTGTTTAAGGGAGAGTTTAAAAACAGTTCCTTAACATTGTTCCTGAGTCCATTGTTTTCCACAAACTAGGAATTGTCTTTGTGCTCGTTTATGCAATGCTTTGAACCTGAATGACCTACTGAAATCAGAGCAGAGTTCTTTCTTGCTAATACAGTAGTGTCAATTTTGTCAGCGAGTCCGAATGGGACTGGGTGAACTTTCACAAACCTGACCCAGCGCAGTTTCCTTAGGGCTTGTCTACACAGGCAAGTTTCTGCGCAGTAAAGCAGCTTTTTGCGCTCAAACTGCAGACATGTACACGCTGCCAAGCCACTTTGTGCGCAGAAACGCCTCAGTTGCAGCGCTGCAGAAAAACCCACCTCGACGAGAGTCGCAAGGCTATTTGCACAGAGGCTCCAGCGCTCTATTGCCATTGAAAACACTTGATTGCTTTCTGTGCTGTAATTGGCCTCCGGAGCTGTCCCATAGTGCCTCAAGTGACCGCTCTGCTCATTGTTTCGAACTCGGCTGCCCTAGAGACATGCGCCCCTCCTCTTTCAAGGCACCATTTCTGACAACCTTTGCGCGCTGTGCTGATCTGCTCTGGGACACAAAGCAAACCATTAATGTGGAATGCTCCTGCTGTTGAACACAGAGGCAGGTGTGTGCGGTGCAGAGAGCCCAGGAAGGGTTTTCCCCTCCCCCTGCCTTACAACTGGCTGCTTCCTGCCACTGTGTGAACTTACAAGACAGCATGCTGACACACTCTCTGCCCCCCCAAACACACTGTCTCTCTCCCCTGCTCCAAACACACATACGCTCCCACACTCTTTCTGCCCCCTCCACTTCATTGCCAGCTGCTTTTCAAACGGAACAATGGGACTGGGAAACCTGCATCATGTGACGCTGTGCCTGCCCCATGAGGCATTGCAAACCCTCCCCAAAGCACCCTGAGGCCAGTTGCACAGTGGGATAGCTACCACAATGCACTGCTGTCTTTGCTGTTGCAAGAGCTGCTCATGTGGATGCGCTCCAGCATCACAAGGAGCACAGTGTGGACACGCAACAGCGGTTTAATTCCAGCGTTTTAATGAAAGTGGTATAACTTGTGGTGCAGAAACTTGCCAGTGTAGACATACCCTTAATGAACTGTATGTCCAGCTGCTGCAGAGGGCCCTCAGTGTTTGGGTTTTTTCTTTTAATAGTGGCAGCACTACCTAAAGAAAAGAAAGACAGACTGAGCTCCATCCCAGTTCAAAGATAAGCAGGTCACGCATCATCATGACTCTTACTAGATATTCTATACTGTGTTAAAGTATTGGAGTTATTTGTATTACAGTGGCACACAGAGGCCTCAACCAAGATCAGGACCCTCTTTGTCCTAGTCACTATCCATACATTTAGTAAGAGAGAATCCCTGCTTCGTACAGATTACAATCTAAATAGGCAAGACAGAAAAAGCAGGAGGGAAAAACAGAGGCAAAAGAACTGAAGTGACTTGCCCAAGGTCAGTGGTACAGCTATGTTATCCAGTCCAAGTACCAAGCCCCAATCCAATGTCCGAATCATTGGATCACATTGCCTCCGTTCATACAACCACCACCACTCTCTCATAATCCAGAGTAGACCTGAAGCTTGATATTTGAAAAATAAAACCATCCAGGGCCCAGAACCATCAGAGACTGTGGGATCTAGTGAACATATCATCAGGAATGGATTGAGAAGGGGATTCCTGAGAAGCAAAACTATGTGGGCAGAGGGGTAAAGAACAAGAAGACTCACTAGACCCAGGCCAGATGACTGAATTTAAAGAAGCAGGATAGATAAT